TCCTCACTGCAGGGACTCCACGTAGGACAAAGCGCTCTGCAGGGACGTCAGGCAGTACCCCTCCTCCCCGATCAGGTACCTGCAACCACACCCGCCACACTGTCACCAAGGGGACACCAGGTACCTGGCACCACCAGGACACTGGCACCACCCGGACACTGCCATGGCCGCTGCACCCAACACCGTGCCATCATAGCTGGGACACTGCCATGGCTGAGACACCATCACAGCCACCACACCACCATCATGGCCATTGCAATGTCAGCACCACCATGCCTTCATGGCTGGGACACAGCCATGGCCAGGACACTGACACTGCTATCACAATGTTGTGGCCAGGACTCTGCTGTGGTCAGCACACTGCTACAGCCACCATGCCATCACAGCCAGGACACCACCACAGCTGGGACATCATTATGGCTGGGATACCATCACAGCCACTGTGCCATCATGGCTGGGGCACTGCTGTGGCCAGGACATCATCACAGCCACCACACTACCATGGCCACCACCCCGCAGCCCTGTGCTCACAAGAGCTGCTGCTCCCACCAATGTTCCCTCCCCACACCTCCCACCCTGGCAGCCCTGTCCTGGGAGGAGTGACAGTGTCCCCAGCCCAGGGGTGCTTGCATGGCCCAGCATCCCCAGCACGTACCCCTCGTGGATGAATTCCTCCAGGGCAGCACACTCGGAGAGCAACTGGGGCAGCCCTGTCTGCAGCACCACGTAGGACAGGATGGGCAGCAGGTCGTCTGCCCCACTGGGACAACAGGGATCATCAAGCCATAAGGTGCCGAATGGGGACTGGGGCCCCAACACCAGCCACAGAAACTCCCAGCCCCACACCTGCCCCTCTCCCTCCCCCAGCTCTGCCTGGCCATGAGCCTGCCCTGCCCCCTGTGCCCCTTGCACTCACATGGCGGCCGAGGCAGGGGTCCGGGTGTCCCGGGCACCGCAGTACTCCTCAGCACACTCGCAGATGCCACGCAGGGCTCGCACTGTGGCACAGGGTGGGTGCTCAGGGTCACCTGCCAACCCCTGTTCCCCCCGCCCCTTTTCCCCTCCCACTCACCGATGCACTCCAGCTTCCTGCGGGGACAGGTCTCCAGCGGGATGAGCCGCAGGTCCTGCACTGCGGAGGCGTAGGGGGGGCGGCCGGGGGCCGTGGGGAAGAGGCGGGAGGCCAGCCCATTGTCGGCGGGGTGGCATGCCGTGGTTGCCGCTCCATGCTTAGAGTGCCAGGGCCGCCTCACGGGGGCCGGTAGCACGGCCCTGGGGGCCACACAGTAGGGGAGGGGCTGCCAGGGAGGCGGGTGACCGGGCCTGGCAGCCCAGGGTGGGTCATGGTACCTGTAGAGGGCCAGGAGCGGGGCCCAGAGCGGGGGAAAGAAGGCCTCCTCCAGGCAGGCCAGGCACTGGTCCTTGCTGGCGGTGGTACCGAGCCCCTCGAAGGCCAGCAGGGTCAGGGCCAGCAGCCTGTCTGGGGAGGGCAAGTCACGCAGCACACTTGTACCCCCCATCCTGCCCACCCTGCACCTCGAGTCAAAACGAGTTGCAGGAGAGCCCACAGACAGCCCCCATCCTGCCCTCACTCCTTTGGCTGCCCCTCACCAATGGCGTTGTGGATGTCTCTCACAATGCCCTTCAGCAGCTCTGGCAGCGCCGTGTCCTGCCCAGGGCCAGCCGGGGGCTCCGTGGGGGCCCAGCCCTCGGGGGATGCCAGGAACCGCTCCAGGTCCTCAAAGGAGCTCTCCCGGGGGGTCTGGGGGGCCCCTGCGGGCCCCAGGGTGCCAGCGTCAGCGAGGGGGGTGCTGGACTGGCTGTGCCGCAGCGCAGCCGGGCCGTGCTCAGGCACTGAGAACATGCAGTGCAGGCTGCGAGAGGCGCGGAGCCGGCGACCCCCCGGCTCAGCAGGCAGGGAGGAGCCCCCCGCGCCCCCCACATCCAGTGACAGGAAGGAGAGGCCCGAGGGGGAGGCGGGGGAGGCGTCAGTGGGGCCCTGGCTGACAGCAGGGTACAGGCGGGCGTACACCGTGCACTGCAGCCGCACGCAGGAGCTCGAGGATCGGGTTGCTTCGGGAAGCTGCAGGTCCCAGAGCTGGGCACAGTGGGTGGGGGGCACTGGCACATGGCCATGGCCCCCCCACTCTGGGCAGGGCCCTACCCACCCCAGCAATACCTGAGGAGGCAGGAGAAGAGCCCTGACACCACGGAGAGATCTGCCGGGCTCCGCTTCAGCTGGGCCTTCCACTGCCTGGGCCAGTCCTGGGGAGCGTCCATGGCTGGTTACGGGAATGGCAAGGTCTCCTGCCCCATGGCATGGCCCCCTGCCCCCTAGTACAGGCCCCTGCTCCCTTTCAGCAGCCCCCAGCACACACTCACATGGTCCTGCTCGTATTCGAGGATGGCAGCGTAGAGCTCTCGCTGCTCCTGCTCCTCAGGGGTGAGGGCCACATTGCTGGAGAACCTCCTGGGACACCCCGGGCTGGTGAGGGCACTGCCAGGATGTCCCTGGCCCTGGGGTCCCCGCGGTGACATCCCCACTCACCGGTTTGCTGCCTCCTGCAGCCGCAGCCGCCGCTCCTCCATCTTGCGCTGCAGCTGGGCCACAGCTCAGTTAAGGGTCTGGAGCCCCCACACCGACAACCTGGGGCTGGATCAGCCCTTCACCCTCCTCCATCCCCCTCCATCCCCCAAGCCAGGACCCCAAAGGCCTGTGAGGGATTGGTGACACCAAGGACAGGGCAGAGGCTCTGCCAGAGCCGGCCCTCAGAGCAATCCCCATGGGAAGGATACAGTCTCCTCCCGGGCCTTGGCAATCACCAGGTTCTCCATCATCTGCCGCTGCAGGGACAGTGTCTGTGGAGCAGGGGAGTGTTGGGAACACACACCCCCCCACATCCCACAGTGGGGAGCAGGGGGTCCACCAGGCGCACTGCAGGGACACTCTCCCTGCCAGCTCTGTCCAGCTCTATCTTCTCCCAGCCCCTCCTCAGCCCCCTACTTGCCAGGGATGTTTTCTGCAGGGCCTGGCTGGGGTTCAGCCGTGCCACCCGTGCCTCATAGGCCGCCTTCAGCTTCTGGTTCTGCAGAGACGCCTCTTCCAGCGGGGTCAGCTCCCTGTGGGAATGGCCTCAGCACCCACCACAGGGCATGGGACACATCAGGGTCCCAGCCCACCCCACGACCCCCTAGGCATGTGTAGGGCAGTCACCAGTCCTTGTGTCCCAGCCCACGCCAACTGCCTGTGTCCCATCCCTCTGTGTCCAAGCCCCCAGGTCCCACCCTGTGTCCCAACACTCCCTGTCCCACTCCCCCGTGTCTGAGCCCCTCATGTCCCACCCCATGTCTCAGGCCAAACCGCCCTCCCTGTCCCACCCCCTGTTCCACCCCCCGTACTTCCGAGCACTCTGTGCCTCCGCAATCTGCAGCTTCTGGAAGATCTCCGGGGGCAGGAAGGGCGAGAGCTTCCCCCCCTCGTCTGAGCAGACCCGGCGGTGCCTGGGCAGGGGGGCAGGGCCCCCTCCCCTCTCCTGCACAGCCGGTTTCACCTGGGCTTTCCCTGGGGAGGGGGACAGGACAGGTCAGCTGTGCCCCTGTCCTGAGGGAGACCCAGCTCCCCAGAATGGGACCCCCCATCACATCACTCACCCAGCACTGCTGCAATGGATTTGACCCTCTCCAGGCACTGCTCTGCCAGCTTCAGCAACTTCGGGGTGTCGGGTGTGACACCCTCACTGCTCTCTGTGGGGAGGGGAGTGTCAGGGTCCCACCCACTGACCCCCCTTGGTTTGGGAGAGGGTTGGGGGGTTGGGGGTCCTGCCCTACCTGTCCCCACCGCCTCTTCCTGCAGGGCCTGCATGATGAGGGTGATGCTCTTCAGGTACTCCATGTAGGCCTCCTACAAAGTGAGGGCTCAGCTGGAACCCCCGGGACCACCCTGGGACTCCCCTGGGACCCCCGGCCCTGCTGGCAGCAGGGAGGTGTCCGGGGGGGCACCCGTGAGACTCTCACCACCCGGATCGGGCCCTCCCTGGGGATGTCGGGGCTCCGGGAGGGGCGGGGGGCAGCCCAGGGATCTCCAGACCCCGCAGCCTG